GATCGTATCTCCTGTTTAACGCTAAGATGATCGAGCTAAGATGATCGTATCTCCCATACTTTAACATAGACTTACGACTGTCGTAGCGCTAAGATGATCGTAACTCCCATACTTTAACATAGACTTACGACTGTCGTAGCGCTAAGATGATCGTAACTCACATACTTTTACATAGACTTACGACTGTTACGACTGCGCTATGATCGCTTTGAAGAACAGGCATTACATTACATTACAGTACATTAAATATATGTTGCTACGAAGGGCTTACTCCACATGATGTAGACTAATGCTTAGTCTCTGAATATATATAATTTTGATAGTAACAAACAAGCCCATTTAAATTGAAAAGGAGCCTAGGGAGACCAGAGATTAAAAAATGTTCTGCTCTTAATTCTAATTTGTACATAATATAAAAATACAGAAACATTCTTAATCACATCGACATTAGCAGATTGCATACTATGTATAAAGTTGTTTATCGTCGGAGGCTGACTTAAATATTTCACAATATATTTCTCTCGAAAATCAGAGAAACATTCACAAATATACAAAATATGCCACTCATCTTCAACAACATTAATACCTTTGGATTTCCAAAATGTGCTTGTTAATTAAGAGTTGACAGATGAAAATATGAGGCAAGATTCCAGACCACCGGTGAGGATGTTGGTCCGGCCAGCCATTGTAGTTAGATATAGTATGACCAGAAATTATTGAGAATTTTAGGAATATGTTTAATTGGATTTCTAGTATAAACAACCTTGACCAGCTATCAGGTGCTTGGTTTCATTCAAGAGAGACAACTCCGTTAATCCTTTTTCATTAGTTTGTGAAGAGTTATCCCCCTTTGTTTACTAGCCAGCAGACGACTTTTTCAGTGATCCTCAGTATGGGTGATTTAGAGATGAAGAAGTTGATTTTAGAGTATTATAACAAGGACATCAGATCAGCTAAAGTGATTTCAAGTAGAACAGGCATCCCTTTGTCCACTGTTTATCGTGTTTTGAAAAATATTGCAAATGGATATGGCATTGAGCACCAGGGAGGCGCAGGTAGGCCCGAGAAAATTGACTGTCGGTGACAGGAGGCGGCGTGGTATTCTTGTTTCTAAAAACAAACGAAGGAGTTTAGAAAACTTAAGGCTGGATATGATTGATAGAGGAACTGTGGCTGTCTGTAAGGAGACAATTAGAACTGAGCTGCATGCAATGGGTTGGCAGAAAAGTCGAGGAATTCCATCACCGATCATGAAACCTGAACGAAAGGAGCGAAGGTTGAACTGGTGCTTAGAGCATAGAAATTTTAACTGGGACAATGCGATTTTCTCAGATGAAACTTCTGTGTGGCTGTTTCCTAATACACTGAAATTCTGGACCCAACAAACTGAAAAAACCTTTGTATCAGCGCCCAAAGTACAGTCCGAAATGTAACGTGTGGGGTGGCATATCTGTGTTAGGGGCAACGCCCCTCTGTGTATTTGAAGGGAATATGAACAGTGAGCGGTACACAGATATTCTCGAGGGACATTTATTTCCATTTGCTCACGTGTTCTATGGACATTTTTTGGATTTTCCAGCAAAACAACGACCCAAAACATCGTTCAAAGCATTCACAGGCCTGGTTTCGGACCCAAAATATGACATTATTAGATTGGCCAAGCTATAGCCCTGACCTAAATCCAATAGAAAATGTTTGGGGACTTATGAAGGAAAGTGTCAATAAGAAAAATCTGACAAATATTGCTGAAATGAAAGAAGAGGTGGTCCGATATTGGGACAGCATGGACCACGACTTTCTAACTTCTTTGATCAGTAGTATGCCCCGCCGCATTGAAGCCTGCATTGCTGCCCATGGTGACTTGACAAAATACTAACTGTTCACCTGTCTTTGAATCTGGAGTTATGTTCTGCTAATATTCACATTTAATATGTGAGTAATGAGTGAAAAATAAAAAAAATTACAATCTTTAAATTCTCAATAATTTCTGGTTGTACTGAAACCGACCCCCAAAGTGAGTTAGTTTTCTTGCAGATGTTCACAGACCCTGAACCTGAGGAAATCTAGAGTTGCTTTATTTAGGGCTTTAGCACTGCAGAGAGGGCTTGGCAGTGGGGAAAATAATGTGGTTCAGGGACTGTGAGACAGACTACACATGATGGTGCTATTGTGTTAGCTGCAATATGCGCAACAATATTAAGGTAAGGGGAAATTGGGTTTTACGTCGTGCTTGAGAATATTTCGCTCATATGACGACGTGCATGCATGTGTATGTGTATATGCGGCTGCTTGTACTAGCCCAGACTTAAGTTGGTTTTATAGTGCTAGCTCACTGAGATACCATGCCGCAGTGAAGCATGAATACCCCACTCAGACACATTATACTGACTCCGAGCCGACCAGTCCTTGATGTACCCATAAATGCCCAGCGCCAGGCAGGGACCAACAAGTACCATATTTTAACGTCTTTTGGTATGACGCGGTCGGGGCTCTCTGGGCGGACGCTCTAACCACTACACCACGGAGGCGGTCCGCAACAATATTAAGCTATGTGTGAACTCTTAGCCGCGGTTCGATCGGATATTACCGAAGAGGAGTATGCTTGTCAGTTTTTATATAATGAATTCTTGGTGTGCAGAAACATTGCATGTAGATGATTTCTTTTGGTCCCCTTTCAGTGACAAACCCTTTAATGTAAATTCTTTCAACGCAATTTAGAAGTGATACACATAAACGATGAGAAGTTTTGGACCTCAACTTGTTTATTTAGGAACATAATGTAGATGCTTTCATTTGGTCCTGGCACGACCACTATATAGTGATATCTATTCTTTATTTCATAAGTGGAACCTTTAAATAGAAAAAGAAAATTGTTATCTTGTTGCATTTCCTTTTCTGGCTGGAATCCCACTGGGTGAACCGATCATATACTGAGTAATGGGAATGTATGTACCCTAAACAAAGTCAAAATACAGAAAGGTACCCGGTACCCTTAACGTCGGACGAGTCCATATTCCGCAACCCAAAACCGTATGTAGTTGTTCCCGTTCAACTCATTGCGAGTGGTGTTGAGCATCGCGAAATATTCATTACTGTGTATGCTTGTTTCTTATATAACGCAACCAAATGCATCTAATACAACAGTATGACAGTTCCGATCAAGAAAACGACACAGTGCGGAATGGACTCGTTGTAGGGTGCGTTTCTGTATTCTGATTTTGGCTCGGGTACGTTTCTGTAGACACATCTGTAGTACCCGTGCCGACAACAACTCCCTCTGCTGAATGTGAACTAGTCTGTCGTACAGACCCTGAAGCAAATGTATCCAAGAAAGCCCACGCAAGTCTAGAAAATGTCGCAAGTCTAGATTTCCTCAGCTTCTGAAAATGAAGAAAGTCTCAGGGCTCCTTTTCATTATATTTTTTTTATTTTACTGTGAACATTTTTTATTAAAATACGTTCATTTCAGAGACTAGTTGTTAGTCTAAATTTGAACGAACGGTATGTTACACAGACAGCCAACACGAGAGTTATCCATCCAGCCGTTTAAGCCCTTCACGTGCATGGGCATGTTGTTATCTGCTTGATTGGGTTGTGTATCAGGCGTAGCTATCGATGAACGTAAGACACGCTGTCTTTATTGTGAAGTGATATGCTAGGAGGCTCAAAACGAGGGGGTGCATCTGTTTGGTTTCTGAATGTGCCATTATGTATTTGAGATAATCGCTGTGGGAATTCCTGGCAGATCGGTCGTTAGAAATCCCTTCTTGTTGAAAGAAGCGGCTGAAGAATGACAGGTTGTGCCCCTTGACTGACTGAGTGACTGACTGAGTTTTTACGCCGCTTTTAGCAATATTCCAGCAACATCACGGCGGGGGACACCAGAAATGGACTTCACACATTGTACCCATGTGGGGATTCAAACCCGGGTCTTCGGCGTGACGAGCCAACGCTTTAACCACTAGGCTACCCCACCGCCCCTGTGCCCCTTGATGTCATGAGTTAGTGAGTATAGTTTTACGCCGCTTTTAGCAATATTCCACAATTGCATGGCATGGGACACCAGAAATGGGCCTCACACATTGTACCCATGTGGGGATTCGAACCGGGTCTTGGGCGTGAAGGGAGAACGCTTGAACCACTAGGCTGCCCCACCGACTCTTGAGGTCATGGGTGGTTGTTCATGTAACACTGGTTTGTTTGCGCCAAGTTCGATCTTGTCGGCCCAGTTGCTGGCGTAAAACAATGTGTCTACCTGCCCACGTTCACTTGAATATAAAACAAGCTTTTATCGCGCTTGTGAATTAGTGTCGCCTTGTGTGTGAGTGAGTATGGTTTAGCGATATTCCTGCAATATCACGACGGGGGACGCCAGAAATGGGCTTCACACATTGTACCCATGTGGGGACTCGAACCTGGGTCTTCAGCGTGACGGGCGGACGCTTAACAACAAGGCTAAACAACCGCCCCTCGCGAATTGGCTTGATTGTGGCTGTGTCCATTTTGATATTGGTTGACCGTTGCTGTATCTGTTTTGATATTACTGCACTATTTCTATCCTCCGTTGTAATATTGCTGGAATATTGCTGTGATATAACTTGAATATTGCTCTCCTACATGTGCTCATATTGCTGTCCCCATTGCGATATTGCTTGAACATTGCTGTCCTGTCGGTGGGTAGCCAAGTGGTTAAAGCGTTTAATCATCACGCCGAAGACCCGGGTCGATTCCCCACATGGGTACAATGTGTGAAGCCCATTTCTGGTGTCCCCCGTCGTGATATTGCTGGAATATTGCTAAAAGCGGCGTAAAACCCAACTCACTCACTCACTCATTTCTGGTGTCATGATGTTCCTGTAACATTGCTAAAAGCGTCGTAAAACCATACTCACTCACTCACTCACTCATACAAGTATTTGATATCTTAAAGGTACAATTCAAAGAATAAGACTTGTCTAAATGTGCCTCGCTCAACCCCTCTTCACCCTCATTGTCGTATAAATCTCTTCACGCTGTCAAGTTCTCTTGACTCAACACTTCTCGCGTGTAGCACGCACTCCGCTTGACCCTCATTTACAAGAGGCATGGTCCCAGGAATTGTTACCTATTTATATCTCAATCAGGACGGACGTCACACACGGTGCATTTCCTCGTCAAACACTGCCGGACAGGGATACTTTGTTACAGGTGAAGACTCCGTCGGTGGACTGCGGACAGGTGTGGCAGGGTGTGGGGTCAGTAGATAGACCTGAAGGGAGAGGACAGGTAGACAGTCTGAGGGGAGAGGACAGGGGCCACTTGTGCAGTCCAGGTAGACGGGGGCGTGGTCGGGACGTCTAGGCAGCTGACGACGGTGGCGGAATGTTCATGGTAAGTAGTCCTAGATCAAGTTTGTTTTCAAACATTGTAGTACCCAAGAGTGTGTACACTGTGAGTGAGTTACGTTTAACGCTGACTTTAATGGTATTACTGTTATGTCCAAACGGGCCGACTTGTTCATCTGTAAGGGAGCAAAGTGCTATTGTGATCAGGGCTAAGAAATATTTGGACTCTTTGAGCCACAAGTATTCTGTCGCACAGTCCCTGAACCTTATCATCTTCCCTACTGTCTAGCCCTTCCTGCATTGCTGAAGTGAGTGAGTTTAGTTTTACGCCGCGTTTAGCAATATTCCAGCAATATTACGCCGGGGACACCAGAAATGGGCTTCACGCATTGTACCCATGTTGGGAATCGAACCGGGGTCTTCGGCGTGACGAGCCAACGCTGTAATCACTAGGCTACCCCACCGCCCCCTTACCACAAGAAGGTCACCACAGGAAAGTTATTGCCCCAATGAATAATCAAGTCATAACAAGCTGACAATGAACTGTGTCTTGTAAACTATGGAGACCGTAAACTGTTAAATCCCATTAATACGAATATCGCCCCTTCCTCCCCGTGAAAACCTTCAGATTAACTAATGTGTGCCCATGATTTGTGTGTCTCGAACCTACAGCTAATTCGCTAATCCCAAAATTTTCTTCAGACTTTGTTAATCCGGGAATACCCATAAGTCACCCATGTTGGCTGGGGGAATGGGGATTTGTGATATATATACTACCCATCAAAAGTTTAGACTCACTAGTGTAAATGTAGCCACTTACTTGTCCACTGTTCTAAACTAGCTTTTTGCAAAATATTCCATACTGTTTAAAGGTACTGTTTAGTTATGAACTGGTGTATTGTAAAACATATTCGTAACATTGAAAAGATTATTGTCATGAGTTCAGTAAATGATTAAAATCTGTGAAAATTGGCGAATTCTTAACAAAACTTTACACCAAAACGCATCTGTTCACATGCACGACATTTGCTCATGCCTTTCGCAATTTGAAGCATCATCCTTGTGCAATTCATCTGCATAAGGTTATTAGTTGGTTCCCCCAAGTTGGTGGAGAAATTCATCTTCGATGTAACCACATACATATACATAACATATAGTGAGTGCTTTAAGTGAGTCTAAACTTTTGATGGGTAGTATATATTTGGAGGTTCCCCTGATTTAACATCTTACCTTGAGGTATTCAAGAGTCGTTATTTAGGGCACCCTTACTTCGTATATCTTAGGGTACCCATGGGTCGTTTATGCGGGGGAGGAGTGGGTCGGACATGCTTCATTTCCCCGGGGTCACCCATGATTTCGGTTGTCTAGAGGTACGCACGATTCACTTGTCTGGGAGATACCCGTTATTCTGTTATCCGGAGTAACTCAACCCTTTATCCCGAAACGTGCTACTACAGAGCCTATCCATGATACGCTTATCTTGAAATTTGTTTTTCCATAGCGTACACATGATTCGTTGTTAATGCAGAATGTACCCATAAAACATTATTCTAGAGTACTGTTGATCAGGTGGGTACCCGTGAGTCGGTAACCAAGAAACCGGATAGTTGAGTTGTCAAACCCAACTCAGTCACTCACTCACTGGGAGGTTTCATAGAGAGTGACAGAGTACATGAATTTACAAGACGCCTCAAAGAGGAACCCTTCTCATTGTACTGTTAATACCACTGCTGGCTGCCTATACTGAAAAGGGTGGTCACGATTAGCGCCAACACATCTGACAACTGTGCAATAGACAATAACAGATAAAAAGATGACCAGGAATCTGTTTTGAATATTGTGCAGGGCACCAACAGTCTGGTTAGATTCTGGTGCAGGTCACCCGGACTGAACCCTACAATGTTGTCAGTTTCTAGTACAATTCGCCTACAATGTTGTTAGTTTCTAGTGCATTTCGCCTACAATGTTGTCAGTTTCTACTGCTGTTCGCCTACAATGTTGTCAGTTTCTAGTGCAATTCGCCTACAATGTTGTCAGTTTCTAGTACAATTCGAATACAATGTTGTCAGTTTCTACTGCAATTCGCCTACAATGTTGTCAGTTTCTGGTGCAGTTCGCCTACAATGTTGTCAGTTTCTAGTGCAGTTCGCCTACAATGTTGTCAGTTTCTAGTACAATTCGCCTACAATGTTGTTAGTTTCTAGTGCAGTTCGCCTACACTGTTGTCAGTTTCTACAGCAGTTCGCCTAAAATGTTGTCAGTTTCTAGTACAATTCGCCTACAATGTTGTCAGTTTCTAGTACAATTCGCCTACAATGTTGTTAGTTTCTAGTGCATTTCGCCTACAATGTGGTCAGTTTCTACTGCTGTTCGCCTACAATATTGTCAGTTTCTACTGCAATTCGAATACAATGTTGTCAGTTTCTATTGCAATTCGCCTACAGTGTTGTCAGTTTCTGGTGCAGTTCGCCTACAATGTTGTCAGTTTCTAGTGCAGTTCGCCTACAATGTTGTCAGTTTCTAGTACAATTCGCCTACAATGTTGTCAGTTTCTAGTACAATTCGCCTACAATGTTGTCAGTTTCTAGTGCATTTCGCCTACAATGTTGTCAGTTTCTACTGCTGTTCGCCTACAATGTTGTCAGTTTCTAGTGCAATTCGCCAACAATGTTGTCAGTTTCTACTGCAATTCGAATACAATGTTGTCAGTTTCTAGTACAATTCGAATACAATGTTGTCAGTTTCTAGTACAATTCGCCTACAATGTTGTCAGTTTCTAGTACAATTCGCCTACAATGTTGTTCGTTTCTAGTGCATTTCGCCTACAATGTTGTCAGTTTCTACTGCTGTTCGCCTACAATGTTGTCAGTTTCTAGTGCAATTCGCCTACAATGTTGTTAGTTTCTAGTACAATTCGAATACAATGTTGTCAGTTTCTACTGCAATTCGCCTACAATGTTGTCAGTTTCTGGTGCAGTTCGCCTACAATGTTGTCAGTTTCTAGTGCAGTTCGCCTACAATGTTGTCAGTTTCTAGTACAATTCGCCTACAATGTTGTTAGTTTCTAGTGCAGTTCGCCTACACTGTTGTCAGTTTCTACTGCAGTTCGCCTAAAATGTTGTCAGTTTCTAGTACAATTCGCCTACAATGTTGTCAGTTTCTACTGCAATTCGCCTACAATGTTGTCAGTTTCTAGTGCAGTTCGCCTACAATGTTGTCAGTTTCTACTGCAGTTCGCCTACACTGTTGTCAGTTTCTACTGCAGTTCACCTAAAATGTTGTCAGTTTCTAGTGCAATTCGCCTACAATGTTGTCAGTTTCTACTGCAATTCGCCTACAATGTTGTCAGTTTCTATTGCAGTTCGCCTACAATGTTGTCAGTTTCTACTGCAATTCGCCTACAATGTTGTCAGTTTCTGGTGCAGTTCACCTACAATGTTGTCAGTTTCTAGTGCTGTTCGCCTACAATGTTGTCAGTTTCTAGTGCAGTTTACCTACAATGTTGTCAGTTTCTAGTGCAATTCGCTTACAATGTTGTCAGTTTCTAGTACAATTCGCCTACAATGTTGTCAGTTTCTAGTGCATTTCGCCTACAATGTTGTCAGTTTCTACTGCTGTTCGCCTACAATGTTGTCAGTTTCTAGTGCAATTCGCCAACAATGTTGTCAGTTTCTACTGCAATTCGAATACAATGTTGTCAGTTTCTAGTACAATTCGAATACAATGTTGTCAGTTTCTAGTACAATTCGCCTACAATGTTGTCAGTTTCTAGTACAATTCGCCTACAATGTTGTTAGTTTCTAGTGCATTTCGCCTACAATGTTGTCAGTTTCTACTGCTGTTCGCCTACAATGTTGTCAGTTTCTAGTGCAATTCGCCTACAATGTTGTCAGTTTCTAGTACAATTCGAATACAATGTTGTCAGTTTCTACTGCAATTCGCCTACAATGTTGTCAGTTTCTGGTGCAGTTCGCCTACAATGTTGTCAGTTTCTAGTGCAGTTCGCCTACAATGTTGTCAGTTTCTAGTACAATTCGCCTACAATGTTGTTAGTTTCTAGTGCAGTTCGCCTACACTGTTGTCAGTTTCTACTGCTGTTCGCCTAAAATGTTGTCAGTTTCTAGTACAATTCGCCTACAATGTTGTCAGTTTCTACTGCAATTCGCCTACAATGTTGTCAGTTTCTAGTGCAGTTCGCCTACAATGTTGTCAGTTTCTACTGCAGTTCGCCTACACTGTTGTCAGTTTCTACTGCAGTTCGCCTAAAATGTTGTCAGTTTCTAGTGCAATTCGCCTACAATGTTGTCAGTTTCTACTGCAATTCGCCTACAATGTTGTCAGTTTCTAGTGCAGTTCGCCTACAATGTTGTCAGTTTCTACTGCAATTCGCCTACAATGTTGTCAGTTTCTGGTGCAGTTCACCTACAATGTTGTCAGTTTCTAGTGCTGTTCGCCTACAATGTTGTCAGTTTTTAGTGCAGTTTACCTACAATGTTGTCAGTTTCTAGTGCAATTCGCCTACAATGTTGTCAGTTTCAAGTGCAATTCGCCTACAATATTGTTAATTTCTAATGCAATTCGCCTATAGTGTTGTCATTTTCTAGTGCCTTCATTGTTGTCCGTTTCTAGTGCCATTGGCCACTATGTTGTTAGTTCCTAGTACAATTCGCCCACACTGTTGCCAGTTAATACTGCAGTTTGTCTACAATCTTATTAGTTTCTGGCTCATGTCTGTTTTTAGACTGACGTTGGATTTCCCACCTGAGAACGTGTGTTTGACACACAGTTCTCGTGACCAGCGTTAAGATTTAACTGGACACATAGCATAGGCGTCGAAAAACCAAAATAAATTGCGATCTTGATCAGTGAAATTGGTATTACTACTATTTCACATACCCTACATCATTCCCTCCTACCGGCTAGACAAAGTAGATATCTAGGCCTCTAGGACTGCATGCATACTCATTGTTCATTAAAACCAGGGATACTCTACAACAGGGATAGGTCACTCGCCTGCTTTCTTTACCATTTGTACTAATTAACGTG